TTTCTAACCGTTTTTCTTCTTTTGTAAAGAAATCCATGGGGTAAAGAAACTGAACTCTTCGAGATTCTCCGATATGACAAGGACAACCTTACAACTTGAAATTCCTTCCCCTTGCGGCTTTTGTATGATAGCATTTTCTTAGCACAAATCCCTTAAAAATGCAAAAAAATGTTTTAGATGGCGACGCTTTGCTGGAGAAGTGGTCTTGACGGGCAAAGATACCACTCAAGGATGCGGGCTTGTAATCTACAAGAGCATTTAGATAATGAAAAAGCCATGTACCTACCGTAATTATAGGAGAGAGGTCCTATAATGGAGGGTAAGGGAACGATCATCTCAACCAGGTAACGCCTCCGCAAACTATTCGTTGTAACACGATATACAACAGTAGGGCAAAAAGACCAGGAGTTCCCAGAAAGGGAGCGTAATATGGGTGTTCGTTCTTTCATAGCATAATGAATCAGTGTGTCAAATAACGCCGTATGACAAGTTTCAGCGAGTAAAACTTCCAAATTTTGATCCATCTATACAAAGTGGTCATTTACAAACGTGTTTGAGTATATCTCAAAAGTGATTAAGCTCTCTATTTTTGGTAGTAATAAAAACACCTCTTCTTGTTAGCCCAAATTTGAATTCACATTGAATGACGCCAAATGGAAGTGGGAGCCTAAAATCATGTTTATCCCACCCCCTATTCCAAAATGGAATAAACGAGGTTTTGGCTGGGCTCTCAATTTCACGATCTACAGGGGCGCAAATTACCGGCGCGTGTTTTCTTGGGTGTCAAAAGTATACTAGATTGGCTTGAGGGCGGATCAAGGATACTTGTTTTCACCAACCATCAGTATCGTAATGCAGTAGTCAAATCAGAATTTGGCCGCTTTATCTTTCAAAAAAATCCCATTTCCTCTCGCCAACTAAAATGTACTCTGTGCGCAAGAATGACTTTGAGAATTTGTTCAATATCTTTATGATAACCTCAAAGACTACAGAGTCGAATTTTGTACCTACTTGCAAAGTTTGATTTTTCCATTCATCAAGCTTTTCTAGAAAGAGATTTAGACACCGTTTATAGTTAGATGCAGTTCCAAGTATGCAAATATTTAATGTACCTAACCCGATCCGCTCACAGCGAACCGTAGGGTAGCTAGTTTTCTCCATATTTTACATAGCTTCTGGGTCACCATTCGATAGAGCAAATTATGCTGTACGATGGTAGTTTAACGATTTACGAGAATAAGACGGAGACTAAAAGTAACTAAAAGTTCGAAGCGGAACTTCATAGTACAACAATGAATTATTGCCTTTTACAGCAGGTCTTCAGGAAGCGGCGTAATTGCATTGAAACCCAGTGAGATGAAATAAATTGAACGACTTGATTTATTTTCGAAAATTAGGTGTTAAAAGCTAAAATTTACGGTTACATTGTTGAAGGTATAATTCAATAATTCAAAAATAGGCATAGCTCAGAGTTAGTTTGGCGAAAGTAAAGAAATTTTTGCTCAATTTGCAGCCAATGTTGTACATATATAATTCTCTTACGCAAAGTATATCCTCTTTGCAAGTTGCAGGGTTGCAGGATTTTATCGATTTTTTCATCGAATTCAGACGGCAATCGGACTTCTCTAGTTTTTGGCTCCAAACTCCGCGTAGATCATTGGTATATCGGTGATCCGCGCCAACCAGCATATCTTTTTGTTTCAGCTACCGTAATTTCCTAGCTTCGTCCTGTCAAATCAGCGCTCAAAAGATTTCGCTGCATGTTTCAGGCGCATGGAGTGGCATCAACATATTCACTGGACGTTCTTACTCACATAAATTCTGGCAGCCTTCTTTTCCAGCTCACTTCAACCCTCAAGCTTGCAATATTTGGAGTTTTGTACAAGACATTGTGATTAAACTGTTTTGTTTTGATCTATTACATTACGGCGCTTGACAAAAATCAAAGAAATCAATTATCTTATATATAAAGCTGAATGTCTTTTGTCTGTCTGTCTATATGTCTGTCTGTGTGTACGTATGTTCCGAATAGAAAATTCCATTTCTGAACCGATCGGAACCAAACTTGGCACACATACACTTCGGGCCCCGGTGGGTGTCATAGGCTACTTTTCGTATCGATCGATATCGATTTTATCGATTCTTTGCAAAATTTGAGCTACGGGGCTGGGAGTTGGCAGAGGGGTGTAATCGAGCATGCTGATCACCCCCGTGGGGGTGATCAGCATGAAAAAAAAGAAAAAAAAGTAATGCACGATTCAAAAAACTAATATTATATTCGTAATCAGCATGCTCGATTACACCCCTCTGCCAACTCCCAGCCCCGTAGCTCAAATTTTGCAAATATCGATAAAATCGACATCGATCGATAACGAAGAGTGGACTGTGACACCCGCCGGGGCCCGAAGTGTATGTGTGCCAAGTTTGGTCCCGATCGGTTCAGAAATGGAATTTTCTATTCGAAACATACGGCGGAGCCGGGTAAGCCAGCTAGTAAGCTATAGTAAGTACGTCGAGTGTCCTTTCATCGTGGACTGCAGTAGGAAAAAAAAGCTCTGTCCGCCAAAGCATCAGCAGTACGCTCACTACTGATGCTTTGGCGAAAATTTAGCACAATGGGATTTTCAGCCGACTGCTTGTGATACTCATAATTGTCGTGGCGGTAGAATTGTATGAACACGAACTTCAAAAGAAAAACTGTGTACTTTCTGTCATTGTAGTATGATAGGAATGTAGAAAGCGGGAAGAGTTTCCAAATCTATAAATGTTTCTTGGCACTCGCGGCACAAGCACTTGTTTATATCATTAACCATTTCAAAGACTTGTCAGAGGCGATTATCTGAGATTGCCTCTCTTGATACTCGTGAAAACTGCTCAGAATCCATAAGCTCCTCATCTCCAATTGTTAAAGATGTTTATGAATTCTAACCGTTGGTAGGATCGAACGGCTCAGACATCAGACAAAAATGCCGGCAAAAAAGTATGTCCCGAAGAGCAGCACAATTATTTGAGATTTTGATAGTTAAACGTGTCCTAATGCCACTAGATTTGAAAAAAACTTATAGTGTTCAAAGGTTCTTGCCATTTGCCGTTACTGCGTCGGATCAAACTGGCGCTCAACTCAGGTTCATAAATATTCTTACCGTCTAAAAAGATGGATGCACTAAATGCAGCGAGGCCTTCATGATGATGAAACTTCATGAATCGCCTTTTATTCGAAATGCGAAACCCAACATAACAGATTTTCAGGGAAGTGGTGAGAACAAGATGTAGTAAGAGATAGGTATTAATTCGCAACTTCCATTTACTAGGTTGATTCAAAAGTTTTGTGGCTTTGATTCGAATAATTCGCAACTGCTCACTATGTGAGCGTATTGACTTACAAAAAATATCTAGATAGAAAAATTCATCTATAATCACATTTTCGCTGCTCTTTATGACAGAAGATTTTAGAAAAAAAAATTTGAACAGTAGCCACTCAAATTCTTGATTTTCGAAAATAAATCAGAAATCAGAAAATCACAACTTTTCGTAGAAAAGCTCGATTAAGACAGTCTTGGTGCCATTAGAAGGAGCATCTCACAAAACTCTGAACGTGCTCTCAGATTTTTCTGCAGCGTTTCAGAGTTTCTGTGAGATGCTCCTTCTAATGGCACCAAGACTGTCTTGATCGAGCTCTTCTACGAAAAGTTATGATTTTCATGAAGAACAAGAACGTCATTCAGAAAAATGCAACGAATGTCATTTTGCCATTTTTTTGCATTTTTTACGAAAATCACTATTTTTTATCAAAAAAAAACTCGAGTAACACAAACTTGACTTTTTTAGAAAGAGCAGCTCACAAAAGCTTCAAAAACATGTTCTAAAGTTTTTTTGCAGTGTTTCAGATGTTGACGATTTATTTTCGCAAAACCATGAGCTTGGTTCTCCTATTCAAATTTTTATCTCTGGAATCTTTTGTCGTCAAAGAGCAGCGAAGATGAGGCTAGAAAGTAGATAAATTTCTCTACCTAATGTTCTTAGTAAGTCAATACGTTCACAAATGGAGCAGTTACGAATTTTTTAAACTTGAAGCGACGGAACTTTTGAAACAACCTAATTAGCTACACCCCTCATCCGAGACGTGTCTAACAGACGAGGATGAAAATATGAGGTAATGCCTTTTATGCTTTACTTATATGTTAACAGCATTGGGTCCAGTACTACATGCTGTCCTAACTAAGAACGAACAAAAACCGCAACGGATTTTTTCGCCACGAGCAGATCGATCATCAGAAAACCGGAAGCTCATAGAATCCTTTAAAATAGGGTTTTTGCGAATACACCGAGTCTTTCAAGATGTCCACAGGTAGGAAATTCAGAAGAAAAAAAATTTAGAACACACTTTGAGTACATGCGAGGTGGAAATGGATTGACCGCGACGTTGGAAGCTTGTAATTTCAATGAAAATGTATTTTTCAAAATTTTTTCGTATTTGGAATACCACTAGACCAAGTATTTAAAGTTATGATTTATGATTTTTATGATTTATTTGCCTTTCATACTATTACAATATGAGGCACCCAAACATTCTTCTGATCCATTCTTTTAACGTGAGTGATCTTACTCTTTGCCAATTGCAAGTGCCAAGCTTTTTCTTTCTCTCCATCTCGTTAGGGCCAGTATATCGAGTTGTGTTCTGTTCAGGGCTTCTTGCAGTTCATGTAGTTGGTCTTCGTTTGGCAGGCGTCTCACGTTGAATGTTCCGATGTGTGAACAGTCGTTGTTGGGTTATGTTAGAAGTTATGATATTGTTATAAGTCATAAAGTTATGATATTGTTTCAAAAAAGCTTCATAAAGCATTTCACGCGACGATGTGCGACACGTCGCAAAAACAGCAATCCTTTTATTTATCATGTGGGATTACAGACACAGCTGCCCAGTGTTGATCATGCCTTTCTTCTTAATCATTCAAGTTTATCGTGTTCTGTAGAGAGAAAAACAAAAAACCATTTTATGTTTAACTCATACACAAAGTTCCCCCAAAAAATTTACATGAAACACCAACGAAAACATCGATACGATGGCAATCGCACAATAAAAGATTGTTCGCAAGCGGTCTCGTCATTTCTGAAAAAATTTGACTTCAAAAAGATAAAAAAGTGAAAATTGTTCGTATAAGTGCTTATCGCAAGCAAGAGCAAGAGTTACAAAAAGTTTCAAGCTGTGCGCTTTAGGATGAAATCCTCAGCAGGAAAACAGTGGTCTCAAACTAATCAAGAATTAGTTGTACCTTCAGAAAACTTTGCAGATGACGAATCGTACTGGAGCAGCTTTTAGAACTCCTTACTGCATACTGTTATTCCGTCAGGGTTTTTCTTAAAGAGGCTTATAAATCCTAAGGTAAAATTTGTGCTTATGTATGTACTTTCCTACCTTGCATATAGGAGGAACGTTTCGTAGAGGAGGAAGAACAACTTTAAAGGGAAGCTTCATTGCTGTAAATAAGATTACTATCAAAACAACTGCGCTTTCAGTTGAACTATAAGACAAACCTTGAATGAAATTTAGTGTAGCTATGACAAATAAGAGCAGAACGAAAGTGACTTTCATTGCTAGGCTATGAAATCCTAAAGACTAAAATTTCAGGTGGTAGATACTTCGAAAATTATAACCGTTTGTTATTTCTAGTCACTTGAATGCGCAGAAAACGATTTAGTCATTCGATATCACAGCGAATCATGCCCAAAGAAATGAAGGAAAAAGACAAGTTTGGCAAAAAGCAATAATAAATCTGGTCTCCGAATGATGAAAGCGTATCATCCATAATCACTGCTCAAAGAGCGTACGAACCGTACTTTTCAACACTGTATGCGGTTTATCTAGCCCGTCTCTTTAATTCTCATAACTGCAGCACAGCTAAACGCCATAAAAGCAATGAGTGAAACGCGGCAAATATTATTTTCATCTCACCAAACAAAAAAGAGTGACTAATTCTTGCGCCATCTTGTCGATGTTTTTCTCCTACGTCTAAGTTCCGTTGAGCGATTTAAAGCGAACGCATGAGAGTTTCTGCAATTCAAAAAAGCCTAATCTTTCTTTCGATTGTACTGCTTAACAGATACTGTACAGGAAAACATCTCGTTCACAAACAAACATGAAGAAAAAATGGCTTGTCGTCAACGTGTTAAAAAAGTTTCCGTCTTTAAAATGCTTTGAAACTCGCGTGCAGCCTTTGTAATTTTCAAGACTGATATTTTCTAGAGACGTTGACGACGAAGTATTATTTCATTTCTGTCTGTGATCGAGATGCTTCCAAACATTGAGAGCAATGTATGTACGCTATAGGTACCAAACATATGAAAAGTTGGCCGGGCAAGACCGCCAGCTAGTTTGTGTTTGATTAGAATCTCAGATATGTTTTTTTTTGAAAGCATGGCTAAAACTACACCTTTCTATTCCTCCAAATAGAAGATACTCATATAAAGACGACAGCAAAGGATGCTCTTTCAGAAACGATAGCTAATGCGGTGACGATTAGAATCCTTTTTTTCCTATTTCGGGGCTAAGAATAGACCAGTAATGCTACTTTCTAGGTGCCCCTGAACATGATGCCCTTTCATCAGTATTTCTCCCAGAAAACATCCAAAATTTTAAAATGTAGCTGGGTTGGTAGTAATTCTATCGAAACTCAGAGTTATAACTCAGAGTTAACTCTGAGTTATCTCTGAGCTAACGAGCAACTTTTTGACCCCCCCCCTGCGAAGCGATGATATGGCAGGATACTCCGTAACAGGTAGTATATTCCTAATAGCGCAACGTTGTCTAAATGGTTCTGCACAAGAAACAGCGCCACCAAACGCGCAACTAGTGTCTGTCATAGCTCTGAGTTTGGTGCGCATTCTAGTCTATCGTGGAACTCAGAGATAACTCTGAGTTTGGTCAGAGAAAGAGAAATAGTGCGCAAAAGAAGAGGGGCAGCTAAAAAGTCCTCCGTGGTACATTTTGCTTGTATTTTAAGCAGATATGATGGGGGTATCGTGGTGCGCAATAATTTACAAAATTTTGAAATTTGGCAAAAACTTGGCCCAGGGGGTTATTCGGTGCGCTGATCACGAATGTGGTACTCATTTCACCATGGGCTCATATAGAGGAGTTACGGTAGGTTTTACGGTAGATGGGAAAAACCACGAGTCTGATTGAAACTTGGTGCGCGGTTATAACAATATATTATACATTCCTGGCTGCGAGTCCATATAGCGAAGTTACGGTAGCTATACGGTAGAACTGAGAGAATCACAAAACTAATCGAAACTTTGACCGCTGGGGTTACTCGGGGCGCTCATGCATTTTATACTGCGGTGACATCTGACTAGGTTACGGTAGGTTTACAGTAGATGAATTAAAGCTGCGGAATTAGCCGAAATTTGGTACATTGAGTTGTTCGGGGCGCAAATCACAGACACTCTACCTGCTACATACACTGGTGACATTAAGAACGGTTACGGTAGGTATGCGATAAGTAAGACGAAATCATGGAATAAGGGCAAACGTTGCTCGGAGGGTTTCATTGCGTAAATCCTAATAGTCCACTCTTATCACTGCGTATGCCGTCCGCTTTCTCTATTGTTTGAAGCCTTCAGCTGCGCAAAAGACCAATCCTCGTGATGAACCACCACTTTCCGATAGAAGTGGAAATGGGTGAGGCTTTGGTATAACTTGTTTTGACATGCTAAGTGTTAACGGAATGAGTGAGTACATTATGGCAAAGCAATTTTCAGATTCAAGGGTGTGTCATGGTCTAGCGATTTAGTGATAGGATCTTTACGCTAGACCGTACAGGTTCGAGTCCCAACTTTAACGTCTCTTTTGCAGCAAAGTGCGTAGGAACAGCTCCTCGAAGCAAAACTCCGAGCTTGAGAGTTGAAACTCGGAACATTAAAAGCGGAACTCAGAGTTTCAATAAGCATAACTCTGAGTTTCAAGAACGGAACTCAGAATTATCTCTGGGTTGACGGGGAGCTTTAAACTCGAAGTTTCGATCAAATTACTACCGACCCTGATTATATGACTATATGAGGGAAGAATGTTAGAAGAGACAGATATTTGAAGACTAGAACACGCTGAGTCTAATCGGAAAGAATGATGTACTATTCTGTCTGCGACACTTAAATACTAAACCCACCCGCGCAAACTGCGGCATTAGTGAGTCACCAAGAAGATTAAGAAGTTTGGTCTCTATCTCATTACCCGATGTCGTATCTATCTCTAAAAGGAAGATAAATTTCTTTTGAGCTATTGACAACTCGGGAAACATCTGTACATAGATGCAATATATCATCTATGTATTCATAAGTGTGGTGGTATATTCTTATGTTATAACTATACTCCATCGATTTCCTTATAATGTTAGTTCGATGATAACACACAAAATACGCGTGAAAGTATTTTTGACTGAAAAAAAAATACAAAGCGTTTCTTATAAAGGCATGACACAGCTGGACCAAAGCGACTGTCTTGACGTTGACTATATATTATGCACAAAAAACGTTGGAAGCCGAGAAATACTTTAGTGGACAGTGTTTTGGCCAGCCTTCAAGCCCGCTTTTTCAAAATTTTTAATCTTATACTAAATAATCGAACGAAAGCGGGATCGGTTTTGACTACTGAAGGCAGTCTACTAAATACACAGCTGTATCAAATTTTAGATCGTTTCGTTGAAAAGCAGAGGAGCTACGGTAGTTTTCAGAGTGGATCTAAGTTTTGACCAGCACTGTATTTGTTTCTGTTTGATAAGTCCAAAAGCTATACAAAACTTATCATAGAATTGTTCCGCATAACCTCCTTCCCTCCCTTTTCCCGCCTCTTACATAATACACGCATATACTAGCTTTACACCAACTTGACTCAAAGCAATGAGTAATCTGAATGAGACATGTTGTAGCCAGAGCCCTGCACGTGGTGGGCAAATGACATGCTGGAAATCGTTTTGAGTAAAAAAACAAAGTGGATATCGTCTTTGCGGGGTCCGGGCGGAGCCCCGAAAAAAAATTGGTAGTTCATGCTCTTTGCCCATCTTAACACTAGCTGGCAAACCCGGCTCCACCCGGCCCTGTTAATAATACATTTGTAATCAGCATGCTCGATTACCACCCTGTGCCAACTCCCAGCCCCGTAGCACAAATTTTGCAAAAAATCGATAAAATCAGTTTTAATCGATAACGAAAAGTAGCCAATGACACCCGCTCCAAAGTGTATGTGTGCAAAGTTTGGCCCCGATCGGTTCAGAAATAAAAATTCTATTCGGAACATACGTACACACAAACAGACAGATAGACATACAGACAAACAGACAAACAGACATTCAGCTTTATATATAAGATGTTAGTTTTATATATAAGATGTTATGTGCCCCAACAGGCCAACACTGGAGTTCGCGCGCGTCAAATCGCGCCATCGCTAATTGCCGCAGGCGCAACTTCGCTACCGATGCTATTTGTGACAGCATACATGACTAGTTCTCGATGTATGCGTAATGTATGGCACCAAATTTCGTAAGCGAGAGAGGACAGTGGAAACAAAGCGGAAAACTATCAAAAACTCATGTGAATGAAGATGTAATAAACGTTTTTTCCAGAAATTTTGCATAATTAATGAGTGAAGATGTGGATAAATGACTTGTCTACAACGCAGGTGACGATATGGTATGGAACTTGGTACTATACGAACACGGGCCTGCAGGGCTTCACTGAGAAGTTTCAATGAAAAATTAGGTTACTGAAGTTTGTGACAAGCTCTCATCTGAAATTTCCTGCTATCGATAAAAAAAAAAATGGCTCCTTTGCAACACAGAGGTGACGAAATCGTGCGAGATTTGGTGTGTATACGCGCAGTACGACCAAAGAATAAAGTATGAAAATTTAGGAAAAACTTATGTGAATGAAGAGCGTGCACAACCTTTCTCCAATTTAGGTTGGCAGTTGCCAATGTAATGCCCACCTGAGGTTGGCAAAACTTCCAATTCACGTAATTTTCTTAAAATTTTTACATAAATCTGTGCTACACCTAAAGTTTGGTAAGGTAACATTTTGGTCCCAAAATTCTTCCTTTCCTCCTTGTTCGGATCGGGAACAGCAAGGACACCGGTCCTTCCGTGGAAGAAAGGGCGCTCCAATCGAACAATCTACACAGCTGGCGGGATCAAATGGGAAATCGTAAAAATCGATAGTGGCAAAAGCGAAGCCGTTTTACCGATGTCCATTTGCCACCCTCGTGCTAGGCCCTGGTTGTTGTAGTTTTTTCTTTCGAATGAATAAGACATGTGAGTGCCGCGGTCGTAATGATGGCGACGCAGGTAGGGCTGTGTGTTTTTTCCCTCAAAAAACATGCGAGCTTTGAAATTCAAACAAAAAATAGCGCAAAAGATTGCACATTGTTTTGATTAGACTAATGCTCTCCGCCTTTTCCCCACTGCCTCAGATAAACAACAGCATTAA